AATCTGGGGGCAGCTGTCATGTTGCTCTCCCATTCCCTTCTCCCTGTTAACTCTCTTGCCCTAAAGAAATATGCTGCCTTATCCGAAGCCTCCTTTCTGTTAGCTGCCATGTACATTTCATTCCAGGGGACTCAGTTTCCTCCTGAACATATAATATGAGCTAGCAAAGATTTGTATCAGAACTACTCTTAGCCTGCCTTCCTCTAAAGCAGTGCTGCTCAAACCGCAGCTGATGAAAACAGACTGTTGTGCCCCACCCCAAGTTTCTGATTCATTAGGTCTGATGGGGCTGAAGTATTTCTATTTCTAACAAATTCCTAGGTGATGCTGATAGAACATGTTTCAAGAAGCTCTGCTCTAAACTTTCCCTTCAACCAAGACCTTGAATTAAAAATTGCCCACCAAGGCATCAAGAGTGAGACTACTGCTAACTCTCATTCCATTTCAGTCCTTTATTCTCTCCTGTGTACACACTAGTCACTACATTCTGGCCTTACCTATATATATAAAAGGCTAATATGCAAAGTGTCCCCTCGGGAGTTCGACCGTGAGTTCTATCACTCACTGTGATGTGCACTGACCACCAGGGGGGCAGTGCGGAACATAGCTGGCGACTAGCAGCGGCAGCGGGGTGCTGAGGGAGCAAAGGAAGGAGGAGGCAGGGAGGCGGGGAACCTGGTCAGCCCTGATCACTGCCCACACCTAGGGACCCTACCCGTGCACGAATTTTGTACACCAGGCCTCTAGTACCTACATATTTGACCAGTAAGGCCCATCCTCATATCTGACAGGATTCCCCATTCTGGGAACCTTTATGGGCATGTGGTTTTTCTTATTGCCATGCCACCTACTCAGAATTGTTCTCCAGTCCACACAGTGCCCCTCTGAGCTTTTAACCTCTCCTCTTCCATGTCTTTTGGCCCAAGAGTGGGGCCTTCCCCCACCAGACGATACCTGCCCTTCTTCAAATGACCTTCTAGTCTGGTGGCAGCTCTCCATTCCATTCCCCTTGTTACCTCTCTTGCCCTAAAGAAATACGCTGCCTTATCTGAAGCCTCCTTTCGGTTGGCTGCCATGTACATTTCATTCCAGTGACTCAGTCTCCTCCTGGACAGCACTCCCTAGCCAGGTTCTCTGCCCAGTGACTGTCTCTCACTTCAGAAAATCTTCACAGGACAGAGTAAATTCTAAGGATACTTTTAATGTGGTCTTTGCATGATGAACATTGTATCGCCCTTTGGTGGTTTGCCCTCCAACATCTTAATTACAGATAGTATAATTTCATCTGTCATCTGAACAAGAGATGAAGTTCTAACAGAAAGGAGGCAGCTAACTAAAAGGAGGCTTCAGTTGGCTCATCAGTGCTACAGACACACCACTCAGTTATCCTGGTGTCTTTAAAGTTACTACCCTAGCTTTATATCACGGTCATTTTAATCCATCTCCTTCTAATCCTCCTAATTAAAACTTCCTTTTACTTTTCAGGCTTTGATTTTTCCCCATTGTATATATATTGCTTTTCCAAGTGTGGCATTAAGACCCAACATTTGACCAAATAGACTCATTATAAGATCTTACAAGATTGCCCATTCTGGGAAACTCTATTCCTCATCTGCCCAAGCCATTCCACCTACTCTCAACACTTTTCACATAGTACTCACTTTACATAGTTCCCAGTCTCTCTCTCATTTAATCATGATCTTTGGTATAAGTACGGTGCCTTATCCTTCCTGCCAATACTGCCAGTCTTCAAAATAAGCCATCTCTTCCTCAGGCTCTTCCACTCTTCTCCTTGATTGACCCTACAGAAGCACCTGTTACCTACACAGCTGATTATTTTTCAGCCACCCTCTTTGTCATTTCTCGTGGATGCAGTAGTCTTCCCTTTCATGTTTCCTCCACATGAAATACATTTTCTCTCCCAATTCAGTCCAGGAAACCTGCCACTGGCCATCACTGAAACCCATCCCATTTAGACCCTTCAGCGTTTCGCTGTATTGGTCACACTTATTATTTGAAATAAGATTCCCACATGGCACTCCTTCAGTCACTTCCTTTTCACATTCTCTCCCCTTTGGTTTTAATCTAGCTTAGCTCACATCTCTCTAACAGCCAACTCTTACCATTTTCCAGTGTTCCTCACTTTGGCCCTCTGTTACGCCCTTCCCTACTCACACCTGATATTCTGCACCCCAGCTTAAATCCTCTGTCTTCTCTCCATTCTTAGATTCTAGCCTCCGTCATCTTCTCTCTCCATGATATTTTCATACAAGTCTCTCTAGGAAATGTCTTTGACTTTTAGCCAATCCTCACATGGCAGGACAACTTCTAAGAGCACCCAGCTTTAATGACACATCATGCAGTAAACTAGGATAACTTAACTACCCGTCATCCCTTCACTCACCAGCTCTCTACAGGAGGAATGGATGCACAGTACTTCAGCTGTCCCTCCCTCAGAATCCTCACCCACCCCCCACCTAATACTGTCATCTACTTGGACATACTGTCACCCACACCCTCTAAGCAAGTCAAGCCTCCTCTCTCGAAAGCAGCGGTTCTCAACCTGTGGGTCGCGACCCCTTTCAAATGACCCTTTCACAGGGGTCGCCTAAGACCATCGGAAAACACATATATAATTACATACTGTTTTTGTGATTAATCACTATGCTTTAATTATGTTCAATTTGTAACAATGAAAATACATCCTGCATATCAGATATTTATATTACAATTCATAACAGTAGCAAAATTACAGTTATGAAGTAGCAACGAAAATAATTTTATGGTTGGGGGTCACCACAACATGAGGAACTGTATTAAAGGGTCGCGGCATTAGGAAGGTTGAGAACCACTGCTCTAAAGCTTCCAGCAACCACTCTATCAGCATTCATCTTAGCTTCCTTATAAACTTTCCTGTCACCAAGTCCTTTAATTAACAATTTCCTCCCAGATTGGTGCTTCAAGAGCTAGTCTATGACTGCCTCCTACTCCTGTTCTTGATCCTATCCTCATTCTTTCTGTATATTTCTCATTACAATATGATCTTTACACCCAAAAGGTGACCAATTAGTCCTGTTTTGACTCTGACAGGGTTCCCCATTCTAGATCTCTACTCCACACCTGCCTTGTGGGCCCTCCACTATATAGTATTTCCTTTTCTTTGCTTCATCTCTTTTCTTTCTTACTGCCGCCTGACTTGTGGCCCAGGAATGCTGTCTTCTTCCAGTTGATGTCTGACATTCCTTAGTGACCATGTTTTGTCTGAGGTCAATTTTAATGTTGCTCCCCTACCCCTCTCCTTGTCCCCTATATTTGTGCTAGAGAAACGCCGTATCTTCAGCATCCCTCCTGCCATGTGTGTAGCATCCCCTGGATTCAGCACTCCTTCCTGGTAGGTATAGATAGACTCCTCACTTCTGGCACAAATTGCTCCATCGCTTTCATCTCCCTTAATTCCCT